TATCCGGACTGGACTTTTTGATCTGAATATGTTTTTTCGAAGATAGATATATGTATAATATATTTATGTATAGGGATTTGTCCCTAATCTTTGAAAAGCTTTATATTCATAAAAAAAGACTTTCATTTTTGGTTTCAGAAACCTTAAAATATCTTTAGAAAGTCTCATTCTACTACTCAAATATTTTGCCATCTATATGTTATTTTACCCTTATTGTGACTACAAAGTATACCTTATCCATTTCCTTACCTTATCGTATGTATCTTCAGAAATATCTTTAGCTGCCATTGTTGTTATATTTGCAGTTCTTATGTTATCGACGATATTCTTGTATGCTTGACTGGCCTTCAGCGGGCTAGCTGCGATGTTCTTTGTCTCGGAAAACAGACTGCTCGGCAGAAACGCCAAGTTGCACTTTATCAAGTTATCGATCATCAATTATATAAAATAATAACGTAATACTAAATAACGATTATTAATTCGCAACTGGAACTGTCACACGATTTCATGATTTAATATTCTTTCTTATATTTCAAACTTAGATCTCAAGTATTCCAGAACTTTTATTCAAGCTTAAAGATAATTTATTTTATAATAATTAGAGTTATGTATCTTTTAAATACACAGGACCAGTGCGAAAAAATTTTAGAATGTTATTTTAAATAGTCAAGTATTTTAATAGATAAGTATGTCAAGTATAAATTTAAAATAAATTATTTTCTTTTCAATAATTTTAACATTCTTTATTAATAATTTCTAATTTTTTTACCAATAGACATATATAAATGTTAAATAAAATTATTATACTACATCTTTATCTTGCTTTTTTTTTTATTTAATGTATAGCAATATTTGCTTGACTATCTAAATATTAATTATTGTTACAATAGAATAGTATAAACTAAAAGTATAAAAATAAAAATAAATAATTTTCTCTTACCTGACATACTGATTAACGTAGTTCGATATATTCTTCACGTGTGTAATCGCAGATATCACGTAAGTGTCATTATATTCGTAATTTAATCTGTATAGTAGTTCTTCCTTCATACTCAATTTATCAAACCAGTATGTTAATTTGCTTCGCAGTTCCGGAAGATCCTGTAATGTAATATATCTCTTTTTGAAATATTTCTTGATATATCGATGATATCATTATTTTGAGTTGTAACTGATATTAATAACTAAAGTAACATATTTTTTTGTGTATACAAGGACTATGAAATAAAATAAAAATATATCATAACATATAACATGTGCTATGAAATATATAAGATGTACTGTGAAAAGTTCTTTATCCTACTTCAACTACTGAAATTTTATTATAATTTTATATTATAATTTTCAGGAAAGATTTAAACAAATCAATAAGATTGATCAATAAATTTGATTTACATTTTCATTAAAAAAAATTATCAATTTAAAAAAAATTTTTAAAAATTGTTAAGTTAATTTCTTACAAATCTAAGTATTCAGTAACATACTTGAATATTGTTTTGAAAATCAATGATGAAACCATGCGTTTCATTTGTCAACTTTTCCCCTTCAGTAACAGATGCATTAATTGTGTTCCATAACGTGTTAATCTCATTATAGTGATTTTTAGCTTCCAAAAACGTTTGATTGATATTGTTGTATAAACCATCGTAGGTAAACAGTGTTTCCATTGTGTTTTCTATGATGTTTCTCATGTCAGTTAGTTTTATAGAATATTCTTCAGCATCGTCTTGAGCAATTGTTAATGATTCCGTACCATCATATAAAGAATTCAACCAATCAGTGTATTCTGCGACATCCCTGTTTTTAAGAATTTAACATAATGATTGTAATGTAGTATGATTTTATGAAAATAATAATATTTATTACAAATAGAATTAACAAACAGTAATTAACATAATACTTATTGAAAAAGATTATACTAACTCGAGAAAACTTTCTATTTCCATTGTCTTCTTTGTTAAATTTACTTCTTTTAAACCATTTAAAATCATTTTTGCCATTTTCAATGCTTTTTTGATTTCTATCCTTTTGTTATCATTTGTATATTGATCTAATAATAAGATTGTATCTACAAAAATGAAAAAATTTTGTTAAATTTAAGTTAAGATTTATATAAAATGAAAAATTTAATGAAGTATTAAAAATTTAATTCTTTTTAAATTTAATACTTCATTTAACAGAAACACCTTCTATATATTTTCGTAGATTGTCCACTTCAATTCTTGCACTAAATATATTATTCTCTAAATCACTGGTTTTAGACTTCAGAGTATCTCCTCGTTTGGCTTGTTCATTCGTCTGAAATGTTAAAATATTGTTAGTATTCATATAAAAAAATTACAATTTTTGTTTAAGAATACATAGTATTTAAGCTTTCAAAATAAATATTAAAAATTTCAAGAAGTAATACTTAGATTTCAAGAATAAATAATATTTAAGATTTCAAGA